AAGCATTCTGTGCTCACAATGTGTTTGTATTAAGGCTTATCTCAGCAGTTTCCTGTAGATACTTCTTTCTGTAGTTTTCAAAGACCTGGGCCTTTCAAGGAGGAGTTTGTGGACATGAAGTTACAAATTTTGATGATACAGAACAAACCCAGGGCTTCATGAAAGCAGTTATTTGGAAATGCAGTCATGTAGCACTTATTACTTGGCTACCTTGGAGTATTTTAGAAGAGTGATTAAATAGCATTTTCCCCAGTATGGGAGAATAAAATGGAACTGTCTTTCAAAAGCATTAAGCCACCCTTTGTGGCAGACAGGAGAGAAAGGACGGTGCTTGGGAGAGGCCTTGCTGGAAGGAGCATTGCAACACCATGACCTGTTCATGGCTGCTCTGCCCCAGGTCTGTCTTCTCTTTCCTTCCCCCATCCAAGCCTGTTTCTCACCAGTTTGTCACCTCCAAGAGCCCCCAGGCCTTCTGGAACAACAGCAGCAAGCAAGCACATTGCCCTGGAAATTCAAATTCCCAGGACTGCCTCCCTTGCTATATCCAAGTGTGGCATCCCAACCTAACAGGGGGAAAAAACTGTGAAATAATGGAAACTAAAAGACTTGCAACTTTTCTTAACTTCCATCACAGGCAGATGCAACTTCCGGATCTCAAAGGCTATTAACAAATGGACTACAGCCCTGGATTTCAGGAGATCTTCAGAGATCTGCTTGAAGAATCCCATGGGATGTGGCCCTGGAGAGAAGAGGAGTCCAGGAGAGCTGGTTGATACTAAAAAATCACCTCGTCCAAGCTCCAGAATGGTCCATTCTGACAAGTAGGAAATCCAGCAAATGTGACAGGAGACCTGCATGCATTACCAAGGAATTCCTAACTGAACTCAGACATAAAAAGGGGGTGTATAAGATGTCACAGCAGGGGAGGTGACCAGAAGGAGTCTAGAGTTGCTGTTTGATGATGGGTTAACAAGCTCGATGGATGAGGGGAGAACAGCGGATGTTGTTTACCTGGACTTTATTACATCTTTTGACACTGTCTCCCGTAATATCCTCGTGGACAAGCTGACAAAGTACGAGTTAGATAAATGAACCCAACCAGGCCCAGGGGCTTGTGATCAGTAGTGCAAAGACCAGCTGGAGTCAAGTCACTAGTGGTGTACCCCAGGGGTTGATACTGGGACCAGTACTGTTTAATATCTTCATTAATGACCAGGATGCTGGGATAGAGTGCACTCTCAGCAAGTTTGCAGACAGTAGAAAACTGGGAGGACTGTGATACACTGGATGGTTGTGCTGCCATTTGGAAGGACTTGGATGCAGTGAAGAACTGGGAGGAGAGGAATCTTGTGAAGTTCAAGGAGGAGAAATACAAAGTTCTGAATCTTGAGCAGAATAACCCTAGGCATCAGTACACACTGGGGACTGACTGGCTGGAAAGCAACTCTACAGATAAGGACCTTGGGGTCCTGGTGGACAAAAAGCTGACCATGAGCCAGCAGTGCGCCCTCACAGTGAAGACGACCAACAGCATCGTAGGACGCATGAGGGGGAATGTTGCCAGCAGGTTGACGGAGGTCCATCTCTGCTTAGCCCTGATGAGATCACGGCTGGAATGCTGCATCCAGTTCTGGGCTCTTCAGTATAAGGAAGATACGGTTTTCCATATCTTCCCCCTGAACAGGGCCACAAAGATGATTAAGGGATTGGAGCATCTTTCTTATGAGGAGAGGGTGAGAGAGTTGGGACTTAGAGCCCAGAGAAAAGAAAGCTCAGGGGTATCTTATCTATATGCATAAATAGCTTAGGGGAAGTAATGAAGAAGAAAGAACCAGACTCTTCTTGCTACTGCCCAGTGAGACGACAAGAGGTAAATGGGCACAGATTAAAAACATAGAACTCAATGTGAACACAAAACCCCACTTTTTTACTGTGAGGATGATCAAACAAGTTGCCTGGGAAGGTTGTGTAGTCTCCACTGGTGAAGACACATATTCAAAACCCATCTGGACGTGGTCCTGTGCAACCTACACTAGCTGACCCTGCTTACACAGGGGATTGGACAAGATGATCTCTCATGGTCACTTCTAGCCTGAAAAATTCTGTGATTCTGTAAGAGTTAGCCTGACTTGAGAGCCAGACACTGGTTACCATGCAAATAGTATAGGGAGGCACAAATGCAGCAGCTTCCAGTGCTGCATGCACTAGCGGGACTCTAAAAAGTATTTCCCCCTGGGGGGTTCCTTTCCTTCTCTTTCACCCTTTTCACCTGCATCCCAAGTATGTCTTACACTGGAAGGTGTGCTCTTTGGCATCATTTCCCAAGCAAAGCCAAGAATGGGAGTAGGTCAGTACCAAAACCAGCCTGTTTGACCCTTTGCACCTCTCACCAGCTGATGGACACCATGCTGTAATTCCTCAGAGAGCCTCAGAGGTCTTGCTTTGCAGAGCCTGCAGTGTGGTATGAGTGAAGGGATGCACAAAAATTAGCGTGGGAAGACCTTTCTTTGGTTTGGCATGGAACTCGTCCCACCTCTTTGGGCAACATTTGCTCTCAGAATCGGAATCATTTTGATTGGAAAAGGCCTTTAAGATCACCAAGTCCAACCATTACTTCTTAGTTGAAGTGACTCTTCAAACTGGGTATACATAATTTAGAAGTTCCCAGTAATTATTTACTGTTGAATACACACAGCAGAGAGATAGGATTAACATTCTACAAGGCGAAGAGTTAACATGCCTACCACCCCAATGAGTCTTTGCTGGCCTTACTCAAGTAGAGGAGGGCTGGTCTTTGTTGCTCCCTAGAAGAGGTTCAGCCTCAACGTTGCTAGCTGTTGTCTTTCAATACTTCTTTTTTTTTTTTTCTTAAAAATGAGATTTTATACCTCCTCGTGCAAGTGTTTCTGCTCCTGAAGCCTTACTATGCTGACTATTCCATCCTGACAATAACTTCTCTGTGTTTTGCGTTTCTTATTTTGCATGGCCTTCACTTGTGTGCTTTTCTACACCTAAACAACAAACTTCTTAGTAAAGCTGAGTCAATAGCACACAACTGGGCTGCACCAGTGTAGGTCCTGGATGACAAACAGCTGAACCCTGAGCTGAGGGTTACAGGCAAGGGAGGGCACTGATTAGAATCAGCACTTTATACAGGGAGGAAAATGCAGGTATACTTTTTTGGGTGGTGATGTATTTCCAAATAGAATACCTTTTGAGGAGGAAGAGCAAGTTGTAATTATAAGTGGAATTTTGCTGAGAGTAAGTGTTTTTACCATATCTTCCTCCTACGTTCAAATCTTACTGCCTTAGGTAATGTTCTCTGACATGTGGTTACTGAGTACCACAATGGCTATAAAACATTATGCTATTCCTTACGGCCACAGGAACGCACAACTTCTGACCTCCCAAGCCAACAGAGGGAACAGATGTTGCCAGTGCAGCCTTGTTTGTTCACTGTTGTGCATGGGCAAAAGGGAAGTTTGGAAGCTGCTCTTCTGGGCTATAGGCTCTAGTCAGACTTTTTATTGCTAGTGTGTTTTAACAGGAAAACCAACCTTCTGAGTAGGTCCTGGGGAGGGCGATTGTGCAATAAGCAGTGGTCAAAAATGGGAAACTGGGTGCTTAAAAAGAGAAGTTCAAGTGCCTTGACTCAGTGAGCAAGAACTTGCTCATCACAGAGTTTGATTTGATTTGGTATGTTTAGTAAATGCCTAGGATAACATGCTGAATAACAGTGTTTTCAGGGATGTTTGAAGCCTAGTGGAAATAAGACACTAGGTGTGTCAGCTTTGTCAGCTGGGATGATGTGGTGGTTGATTTGGCATGGCAAGAGTGGAAACGTGCTCCAGCCGTGCACCTTACATGATGCTCTAAGAGAACCAGGCAAGTCAGTGTCTTGAATAACACAAACACAACTCGAAGTTTATTTATTGGATTAAATGCAGATCATGGTAAAATGATGAAGTAAAGCATCAGTCAAAATCTCACTGGTGTTTCTGTCGATACCATGACTGTCTGTGCTGAAACTCACTTGTAAGTTACACAGTTCTCCATAAATCATCACATAAATTGTACATTGATCAATGATACAGATAGCAAGGAAACTGTGCAGATATTAGCAAGTATAATTAGGTTAAATTAAAAAGAAGTAGCAGATTTGAATTCTGGAGGTTTTAGATTGCATATCAATAAGAGGCAGCAAGAAGCATGTTGCTTATAGTTTTCTTAGCATTTGTGCTGATTGGAACTCTCAGCAACCTTAACCTACAAAGTTTGGAAGAATGAGGATAAAATGCAAGGTGATTAGTAGTCAGTGATTAACTGTTAAGGGCTGTACCATTTTCCCTGCTGCCTCATTTTTTCATAAATCTGAAAGGGCAGGAGAGAACGAATGTAATGTGTCTGTGTACACGTGCTGAGACAGGGGAAAGTGAGGGGCATTTTAAGATTATGCTGGGTTGGTATTAAATTTTGTTAATTTCCAACAGTCTTTAAATTTGAAATTAACATAAGGAAACTGCAGGTTTCCCAGTGAGGAAAAGAGAGCATGTAGATTTCTACAAGTTCTTTTTTTGTTAATTTCAGGGATTTTTTCCTCTCTAGGAGATTCAAGAGGATGAACTGCATTTCCCTTGAAGTCAGCACTTGGCATGGGGCTAGATGATGGCCTGTGTGCAGAGAGTTTTTGTGGCTCCACCTTCTTCTCAAACAACAAAGCCAGAAGAGTAGGTTTGATGCAAGGGAGCAAGATTCTCCACTCTGTTCTCTGTGGAGGACTGTCTCATTATGACAATGGAAAGGAGCAGTAGAGGGGTGGTCTTTGAGGCACAGAGTGGTCTCTGGGTGCTGCCTTACTTGGGGGGGGGGGGGGGGAAGAGAAAGAACTTACACTTTCAGTACATACGGCTACATGGCTTAAGGCTGAGCTTTTAACACTGCAGTTCACATTTTCCCGTTGAACAGTGAACCTTGGGTGCTGTCTGGGAACAAGTAATAGCTCATTCTAGGGGAGAGCAGAATCTGCCAAAAAAGAGGATGGTCTTGGTTTTGTTGTGTCTGATGAAGAAGTGGAAAGGGTGGTCAACCTTAAATTTCAGAGCATGGCTAACAGGTAAACTTGTTAAACTTGCAGTTGCAGTAGCAGCAGCTGCCTCAGTGCCTTTCTCATCAACTGCCACAAAAGACTTATGAATAACTTTGGAGATCAGCACATCACCCTTCTCAGTTATTCCACTGAAATCAGCATTGCTGCTGAAAGCACTGTGCATTCCCATGCTGTTCAGGTTATCACTGAGGTTGTATCTCTCCTCCATTTTGAACTTAGGTAGGTACAGATCCACAAGAGTTTCGGTCATCTTCTTGGAATCAGTCCATTCGGACAGCTTCTCATACGTCAGTTCTCTTTCCAGCTATTGTTTAAGAAAGAGAAGGAATTTGATGTTTTCAAGGAAAAAACAATTAATGAACTATGAATTAATAAATTTTATGGCAATTTACTGAATTAAACAGTTTTTACATGGTGAATTTAACATTTAAGTGAAAGCATGAAATATTAATTGTCTTTACTGTCAGTCAGAGGCAGAGTGTGCAACGAACATTTGCAACTTAATGATGCAAAGTTTTGAGCACCATCCCTTCCAAATTCATTGCAAAAGATGACAGGGCAGCTGCCATCCCCTGAGGTAGTTCTTTCTTCTCTTTTAATTCAGTCTTGATGTGAAGGAAATTGCTAGGAGATTGCCAGCTGTGCGGCAGGTGATTCGGTCCAGTTCCATTGAAACAGGTGTTATATTTCATGTATTTCCTTGACAATTTTAAACCAAACTGCTTTCATCAAAATCTTTCACTGCTGCTCTGTGTCCTGGGCACTGTGTCACCACAGTTCAGCTCAGATCAAATGGAGGAGATCAATGAATGGTGTTCTTGGCATGATAGACGCCAAGAATTTCACAATCTTGCTTGTTATAACAATTGGTGTAACTACAGTGGCAGATTTCATTATTGTAGCAAATGCCATCTCACCAAAATCCTAGTTTTTCAGACAGCAAACAAATGGCAGGGGGTGGGGAGGGGCAAAAAGAGTGAGAGCAAAATGGTGAAGAAACTTCCAGGCCATGGAGAAGAGGTGTCTGTTAGCTCAGAAGGAGTCTGTGACTACTTGTGCTTACTGTCCCTCCTGAAAGTGCAGGGAAGGGAGATTTAACCCTTACAGATCATGTAGGATTGGGTGTCAGTCATGGGGCTGTTGAAGAGCTAAGCATCCGATTATGCACAGTGTTGACTGTCTTCAGCTCTTACCTAACTAAGGGCACTCAGTGTAGAGGAACTTTCTTGGGATTAGGTAAGTATTGAAGGAAATTAATTCAGCTAGTGGAGATCAAACAGCATGTCCTCAGAGGGGACCAGCCTGTCCTTTTTTTTTTTTTAATGACTGGGTGGTGATACAAAATGGATGTAGCATATTTTTTTACCTGTTCAAGACCTGTAGTGCTGTCTTTGATGTCATTGGGAAGGAGGATGAACATACTGAGTTCGTGTTTCACATACGGCAACTCAATCATTTTGAAATTCATTGCTTCCATGATGAGAACTGGAAATGTATGTCTCATGTACATCATCTTCACAGGCTTAGTCTTGTTCTGTAAAGTTTTTGTTTGTAAGTAAGAAATCATTCCTTGAAAGGAAGGATAATGATGACTCAGTGCACTGGAGGGAGAGGAAACTTTTCTAAGCAGCTTTTACAAAAGTGGTTTGTCATTCATTTTCCAAAGCTTTTCTTGACAATATTGCTTATCTTAGTGTTTGTCCCAGAGCATTTTCTTGGGGGCTGAACTGACTGATTTTTGTCTTATCTTCAAAACATGCGCAGTAGCCCACAGAGGAGGGAGGAAGAGGGTTAGAAATGTTTGCAAGGATTAAGGGAATGGAGAGGGTTAGAAATGTCTGCAAGGATTAGGGAGATGGAGCAGGTATGGGATATGGCCTTACGACACTATGGCAGAGAAACAGCTATGGTTTAAGAGGACACATGTTGTGCAGTTTTTCTGTGGTCTCCTCTCTCTGGCAATAAAAAGTGACTGACTGATTGCTGTTTATTTCACAACCCTTAGCAGAAGATAACACTAATGTCTGAGCAAAGGGGCTCATGATGAGGGGACTGCCTGTCAAGCAGTCACCTTTGCAGGAGTCAGCAACCTTTCTTAACATCTATGTCCCTTCATTCAGGGAAGCAGCGAATGTATATGTGCTAATCAGAAGGCAGAAGATACAGTTGGTGGAAATTGCACAGAGCTCTTGTCTTTTTATGTGAATTCATTGACATGTCTTCTGGAATCATCCATTAACATTTCTTCTAGTTTCACCCAAACATACAGCTGTTCAGGGTACCCGGTTGCAGCTGTATTTGATCAAGTATGTTTACACCTAGCTAGGCTGCGCAGCACGGAGGCCTGGGTACCATAGTCACACATGACATGGCATGTAGTCCCTATCCATGAAGCTTGGACTCTCAAAATCGTGTTTTTAAATCTAGCCCTTTTAGCACTGTTTTATAAAAACGTCTTAAGTGACTCTAGTGCTTTTGGAAATGGTAGCTGTTATCTGGAGCTCATTAACATTTACCTGAGCAGCATCCTAATGTTGCAGTGAGCTGAGCACTGACACATTTTGCTCTACCCAGCTTTTCACAGAGAGTCTGGTTACAACAGGGATACTTAACAGACTTAGGAAATGGAAAGATTTCAACAGTAGCTGTTGTCACCAGGCTGTTCATGGTAAGAAGGATACTGGAGGAGCTTACCTTGCTCAGTCGAAAGGGTTGCAGATTCGTATTTTCTGCCTGAAATGTCACTTCCCATTCGGCCTTGAAGTAAATGGCATTTACCAGGATCAGCTTGGTGGAGTTTACCACATCTTGTGAAGTCAGCAAATTCTTGATTTTGCCTTTTGAAATCAGAAGAGTAAGGTTTCATTCCAGCGTAGCACTGTGAGGACATGTTTTGATTGCTTTTTCTCTCAGTTCAACTCCTCAGTGAAAAAGTCCACGCTCCAGTGCCCTACTCCCTAAAGTACTCCCCTGGCATAAATCAGTTAGTTCGTTTACAGTTTCCAAAGCTGTTCACTGCCTGGTTCTCCTGGGTAGCTGACAAGGATTGACTCCTTTCCCCAAAAATGTCACAGCTTCATGGCAAGCAGCTAGAAGCAGAAAGCCATATACTGCCTCGCCAGCTGGTTACCCCAGGTAAAGGAGGCCAGCACCTCTGACCAGTGCAGGATGGTACGTAGGCATCCCCACGCACCTTGGTAGTTAGAGGTGTTTCTCCCCTTCTGTCTGCTCTCTCTGTGGTGCATGGGTGCAGTGCCAGGGCAGCAGCTGTGCTTGAGGAGCAGCTGATGCAGAGCACAGCAGAGTTGGTGGGAATCTCCCCAAGGAGCTCACTGAGGTCTGGGTCAGGTATTTGAAGCTGCTTAAGTGTGCTGCTGTTTCTCTCTCCTCCCACTGCATCTCTGCTCACTGTCCGCATCGGAAGGCATGACCTGGCTGCTGCAGTAGCATATGGGGAAGCAAGGGCACCAGCCCAAAGGAAATAGCAGGCTGATTTAATAGGAGTGGAAAGATGCTGGGGTTGAGCTCAGCTTACCCTCAGTTTGTTTTTCAACCCAAGCATTGATTTCCTTTCTGGATTGTTCTGGTGCTGTCTTAAAGTTAACCTTGTGTGGCTCTGCTTTGTAGTGGTTCTTACTGAGTTGTTTGTATCTCTGAAAAATAACAAAACAAAACAAAAAGTTCTATACTATACTGGATTTTTCAGTCTCAGAGGGAATTTGTTAGCTCTTGTACTTCTTGATAGCTTCTTGGGCCTAGAGGGCTACAGGATCTTGCTTGTTACTCTGTGTTGAACTGTGAGTTAAGAAACAACCAAAGGACAGAAAATTCCCTTATTTTGTTGCTACTTTTATCTGGAGAAGCAAGGAAGACTGTGCACATCCCATAGATGTGTTTATTTTAATGTCTCATTTACAATGTATATATTGGGGGTTCCAATAACAAAGCCATGTTGCATGGAAAGGACACTATAATCACAGGGCAATGCATCCTTAAATACTGTGAGCAGACTGACTGGTATTTTCCAGTTAAGTTTGTCACTGGAATCCAGGGTTCTTATTTGCCATATTCAGTGTCAGCTTCAAAACTGTTCTATTAGTGTCAAGTAATTAAAATGAGAAATATTTTTTGCACCTTTTCTTACTCTTCTCTGAGATTTAACTTACAGGCAATAATGGGAAGGTTTTTTCCACGTAGATGCGGTTGGCACTTTTCAGGGAGTAGGTGCATCTGGGTTTGTTGATGGCAGTCAGGAGCTCTTTGAAGCCAGAATGGATATCTTCAACTTCCTTGGGCTCAGGATCCTGGGAAAGAGAAGCCATACATTCAGAAATTGCATTTTTGCATGAAGTTTTCAAAACATTCTAAGCAAGTGATGTGTGTGGGAGAGAGATTTGGGTTCCTCTCTCTTACTGTTTATTTTTCCGAGGTTACCATCACTGCTATTTTCAGGGCTCTGTTTATGACTGGATTAACTGATTTGCCATATAGAAAACCTTCCAGACTATTCCAGGGACTTGTCCTTCCATGCTTCTTAGTGAGTGAAAGGAACTGAACTTGAACCTATGGTGAAGTATGTTGGGATTTGTACTTTAAAGAGGGGTGCAGACAAGAAATACTTGACTCCTAAAGCTGATTCTGGAGATTCTTTATCTTTGGATTTCAGTTCTAATAGATACCATTTTTCTTCTCTTTTGTCTCCCCAGAGAAGATCCGGCCACAGAAGAAGAGCCTTCAGCTCCTGCTGCTTGAGTGAAATGAAGAACCTGAAAGCAGAGTTTCCAAAGTAAGAAATAAACATGAAGGAACTGGTGTGACTTAAAGCCAAATGGCAGTCAAATGGTTCTCTTTTTTTGCTCCTTATAGTAATTCACTGTGCTGCCTGCTGCTTAGTTGACTGGTTAAAGGTATGCTGAAGCTGTATTATACGTAAATCCCATGGAGTAACAATGAGTAGCACTGTGCCCCTTGGACAGCATTGATGGCAGTGCTCCTGTCTGCAGGCTGCAAGGCTGAACTCTCTTCCACAGCTGTTGCTCCTAGCAATAGCAATGTGTTTGTGCAAACCCAAATGGTTCTCCCCACGGTAATGGCACAAAGGCATCTGAACAGGAGTGTGGTGGCACAGAGGAGAGTGCCGGGCAGTGCTAAACACCACAGCTCCCTTTAAGCCAGCAATGTGCCCATGTGGCCTTAGAAAGGATTGGGTTGGGTGATGTGGAGATACCAAAGCCCTTCACATTTTCTTGCTGGATTGTCAGGCAGTTGTTTAGGAAAGCATAAATCAAGACAGAAAGGTGTATCCTGGCCAGGGGAGAGAGGGAGGGTGCTGAGATGTGCAAGCCTCCAGCCAATTACTTAGGAGATACTGGCATCATCTCTTTGCTTCTTAAAGGGAATATTCCATCTGTGACAGTATTGTAGAATCAAAGGATAAACTAGAAGGTGCAGAATAATTTAAGTCAGGTTCAGAGAACCTCTCTGCTCAGAGTGTGATATCCACAGGATGCTTTCTCTTAGTGGAGAACTGGTGGACCTGCTATGAAATTAAATGAACTTTACAATTCACTTGTTACATTCTCTGGTCTGCCTTTGTTCCTTGTCACTGTAGTGCCAAGTTTTTCTATCTAATACTGAATTTTGCAGCCAGATATTGTATGAGCTGTATGCTTCGTAGAGCAACCTACCTTTGCCATCTCTGTTGCTGTATCACCTTTTGCACCCAGGTACATCAGAGCCAGAGCAGACGATATACTCCAAGGGGAAAAGAAAATGTTTTTGCCCTTGTTGGTCTCATTCAGCTTGTTGAAAAGATCAACTGTGAAGTTGCCAACTGATGTTGAGACCAGTTCCATTGCTACAACCTGGAAAGAGGTAACAGACAGAATTCTACTATTTGAATGCTTGAAACTATGTACCCAGTGCATATTAACGAGAAATCTTGCATGTGCGATACAATGCATTGGCACCCACTAAAACTGATAGCCTAGTTGTATGTGTTATCTTCCGCACAGATACTGTTTGCCACCTGTTAGGAGCAGCAATTTCTTTTAGGTTTTTTGTCATCCAGATAATATTTTCCTATAATTGTACATATGTCCTCTTTTATACAGCCAGTCTTCTTTATGTTTCTTACTGCCTGTGCAGATATGTAAGCTGATTATTCTTCTTACTTTTTGTCCTTAACTAATGGTTTATCAAAGTAATGTTCCCAGGGGAATTCAAATGCCACTTTAGTACATAGGTTAACAACATGCCTGAGTTTCCCACTACTTAATTTTGGATCTGTATAGAATTGAGAGCTGATACTGAGAAAGAATTTAAGCATAGTTCTTAGGCTCGTGTGCTTTTCCTGTCCAGCCATCTATTCTGAGTAGTATTATGAACAGCAAAGCTATTACTTGCTTTTAGATTGACGGAGTTTTATTCATGATGTGTAAATACCACCCCTTCTCTGTGTTACAGCAATTTTATTTTCCCTAGAAACTGGCAGCTTCCTTGAGGTTATGAGTATTCCAGACTTTATGATACCTGCCTAGTAGTACCTGCCTCGTGTTGTTTTCCACTCAAGAGACCAGAAATGTTGTTGTTATTTTTATTATTATTAAGATTTGTATCTGTGCAATAGAGCGAGAGAAATTGTGGAGCAATTTCTGACGTTTACAGTAGTTTCTCAGGTGTTTAGTTTCCAAACCACTACAGTTCTGGCAGTCAGTCAGTGTGCTGTAATTACCCAATCAGTACAACAGTGTGATTTTCTTTCATTGGAGAACACAACCAAGACAGCAGCAGAATAGAAATTTCTCTATTTTCCCCTATGAGTAGGCCTCTCAGTCCCTGGCCTGGTAATGTGCGGTGCTGTGCCTTTCCAGAATAAAAATGGCCTTTTCTTCACCTTAAGTATGGGGATCCTTTATCAAACTGAAGATTTTGATTAATAAGACAGTTACTGCCCTAAGAAAGCTTTCCTTTTTGTGATCATTTCTGCTCCAAATTAACAATTTTCCTTAGCCTTACAGATTTATTTTCTGTAAGGGTTGACATCTAGAAAAACATGAGGTAAGAATAATGCACTATAACACTGGTATATTATGATTTACCTATACAGTCATGCAAGCCACAGATAGCTTTTTAAAAGCATCAGAAAAGTTACTTAAATTGGTTTAAATCTTTACCTCTGATCCTGTGAGAGAGAAGACGTAGGTCTTGTCCTCAGTCAGGTTCTGTGTTTGTGGGTTGAGCAATGAATAAATTTAGAAATATAGTACTCCTTGCACCTCCCTTTCCTTCTCCCCTACATGCAGGTTGTTTCCGCCTACCCAAAGCTCCTTTCTACCACATCCCCAAAAGATCTTATGCAATTTTGTCCTCTTTGTTGACCTTGTCATTTTTTAATTTTAGACATTTCAAAAGGACAATGGAATTAAAATCTTAGCTTTATTGTTACACTACAATAGTCTACTGACAGGATAGCAGAACAGTTCACCGGTTCAAATGGTCTTCTGGGGTTGTGGAGACAACTGGTCTGTTGTTTAAAATAAATTACTAGCAAAAAGGTTACACAACTAGAATGCTTCTTTTTGGTTTCTGGACATAAGCAGATATTGTAGGCCTGATTCTCCTCTCTGGCTTTGTGCAGCTGTAACTCCTGGGTTTCGAAACATCAAGTTTAGTGATTGAATTAGACACGAGGAGTCCAGCTTCAGATTGAAGATCATTAGGAGCATACACAGAGGCAAAGCCATGAAAGACCGTTCAGAGAGAAGGATGGACACCCCACTGGTTGTGCTGGTGAAGAAATCTCATTGCAACCATGGCTGGGAATCATTTGAGAGAAACACTGCAAAACACGGAGTTAGGGCACAGTACTTCGATGTAGTGAAAGAGGGCAAGGACTGAAACAGCCCCACTGGGAGGGCTTGAGCAAGGATGGAGTGAAAAAATACAAAAGGGGCAAACATGGCACACTAGTTGCCAATCTGCAATCCAGAAGAGAGCTGGGCTGCTGTTGTGTGGTGGAAGAAGGTGGTGGCAACAACTGTAAGGGGAAGGGGAATGCAGGAAGGGAAGGAAACTACTGTGTGCTAAGCATTTTGCTGCAAGCCTGATTACAGGAACAGAGTGGGTCAAGTCTTCTAAAAAGTGGCAGAAATCAAAGTTATGCAAGGCAATGAAGAAATGGTAGAAATTAAACAAGTGTTTGGTTTAGTACAGTAAGTCTTCAAGAAATAAGGATAGGGGAAAGGTCAGCTGAATGATTAGGTGGTAGGAAAGCCCAAGCCAGGAGACTCCAAGTCCCAATGAAGTATGCTGAGAGTGAGCAAGCTAGCTCCCTTTGCTAGTCAAGATCCAAAGATGCCAGGCAGGATGAGAAAGGGAGATGGCAAGGCAGAACGGCTGTTGACAAGAGAGAGGAAATCACACACGTTAATTGAAAGGGACATGCAGAGGTCAACCTCCTGCTTGGAGGAGGGCCATCAGCAGATAAGGTCAGCCGCAGCCCTTCCAAGGATGGAAATTCCCCAAGCTTTCTGGGCAACCTTCTCCAGTGCTGTGCTGCTCACCCTAAGAAAAGGTTCTTCCCTAATGTGCAACTCAACCTTCAAGTGTTGTGGCCATTGCCACTTTGGTAATGATCTGGCACTGCCAACAGGACATTAACTGTGTCATCTTTGCAATCATGCTTAAAGTAGTTGAAGGAAAGAGAAAAGGTGACTCACATTTCCATTGACTTTAAAGGCCTGTGAGTGAGTTTGGGTCCATGTCGTCATGTTTATTCTCCTTGGCCTCCCAGGTGTGGCTTTCATGTCTTTATTCCTGAGGTACATCAGGAAGTGCTTAAGAGGCTTGGCCGTAGGGACATGGACATGAAGCCCTTGCATTAGGTGAAGCAGAGTGTGGTAGAATTGCACCTGAATGCACAGCGATCATCTGTCATGTTTCACAGCTGAGACAGACAGAAGACAGCACTGTTGTATGGGGATAGAATAAAGGACTTGCTTCACAGCACTTTTCCTATGCTCCTTCCTATTTGGAAAGCAGAGCCCAAAGGGACCCTGGAAGCAGCTGGCCACGTGGAAGAAAACAGAAAGGACTCCTTGGCAGTCAGCAGTCTCCTCTTTGTCAGGAAAAGGGAGTCCTACCATCCCAAGAAGAGATATTTCTAGTAAGATGCTGTTGGTGTGTCCTCTAAGAGACCCGGTCCTTTGCTCTCTCTTGTGAATTCAGAGAGTTCAGAGCATCCCCTTCAAACATGCATGACTGATTAGGACACTCTCCTCCTTAGGAGAAAGAGCTGTGACAGGAGTAAATGTGTACTGCGAGATTTGCATGTAATCTTCCAGCAAGCACTTAGGGAGTTAGTATTACAGGCTTAATTCTCCAGTTTGATCTTGCCTCAAACCAGTGAAATAAGTGGCAAAGCAAAATGGGAGTAAAGCAGTGCAGTGCTGGGCTGGCAATAGTGCTGAATGCAAGAAAGGTTACAAAGAAAAACGTTTCAAGGCACACATGCTTTATTTTCCTACAATTCTGTACTGTTGTTCAATATTTTCCAATTGCTGTGGGACAGAGATTAGAAAGTACATGTGTTAGCCCCTTTATATGCAAGAAAGAAGCACCAGTATCAGGAACACATTTTGTAGGTTTATTTCATTACCAGCTGTGCCAGTCTGCAAAGTTGGCATTAAACTGCGAAGAATGTGGGTGAGGTAGCCCTCCTGGGAGGACCAGCTTAGTGAGCTGAAACCAATGGAGATGCAGCAGTGCTCTGCAGGAAGGAGTTTTTCCTGTTTCTTTTCTTCTTATGTACCAGTTCCCAACTGTTGGGAATTACTGTTTTAGATCAGCTTGGTCTTTTCTGCATTGTGGCAGTTCTGGTTCAGAAAGCACTGAAAAGACGCATCAATGTTGTTCTGTGCACAGTTTGATGCTTATAGTGTAGTGCTACCATTTTCGTGTTCTTCAGCCAGGAGAATGAGCCAGAAGCATGAATTCCATGTTATTTTTAATATGTGCTCTCTTCTAACATTGCGAGATTTGTCAACGCTACAGGAAAATTAAGAAGTGCACAGACTGTTGAGATACTCTTCATGGTGCGTATTTTGTTCATTATTGCTGTTGCAAGAGCCTGTTTAGTAATGGTCAAGTTTCTATGGGGAAGAGAATCTCCCCAAGAAGAGGATACTCTTGGTCTTGTTGTGTCTGATAAAGAAGAGGAAAGGGTGATCTGCCACAAAAATAATAGTAGCACCAAGACTTCGTGATGCCAGTGCTGCTGAACTGGCAGCTACTGCCTCTGTGCCCTCTTCGTTGACTTCCAGATAACACTTGTGAAAAACTTGTGACAAAAACAGGTCACCATTCTCTGACATTCCTGTGAAATCAGCTTGACCTTCACTGAAAGCATCTTGTATCCCCATTGTGATCAAAGTAGGTTTGAGGTCATATTTCTCTTCTAATGTGAACCTGGGCAGATAAACCTCCATTTTCATTTTCTCCATTAATTCCAGGCTGGTCCATGCAGACAAGTTTTCAAAAGTCAATTCTCTTTCTAGCTACAGTTAGTAAAAAGAGAATCAGAAAATTACAGAGTGTTCAAAAAACTTGTGCCCTAAGAGCTATTTCTTCTCTTTTCTTAAATGGAGAACTTTTCAAGCTGTTGTAAGAGTACAGGAAGAACACTAGTGAAAGACCATTTTGGAGATCTTTCTGACTAAAGGAGTATGTTGCTCTAGTAGGTCAATGCAGTATTTGAACTGTTCTCAGTAATTGTCAGGGAATATAGCAGGGTTAAACAGCTGTAGAACAAAACCATCAGTGTCAAGTAACAGTAGTCTGGTTGATTTGCTGTTCACATTTCTGTCTTCCCTACATATTAGAATTTACTGAAAAGAGCTTTTTTTCTACAGAACACGCACTAACATGAGAATGTAATGAGTTTATTATCCAAAGGCAGGATTGGTCTCGTTACAGAAGGTGGCAGTGTCCACATGTGTTAGCTCTGGATATTCTGGAAAGCAATGGAGGCTGCCCAATTTGTGGTTTGTTTTGGGTTTTTGAATGAAGTCATATCTGTCTGAATTGGTACAGACAGTGGATCTCAGCAGGGCTGGCTTTCTCTCCTCCTGTTTTTTCAGCTGGAAGAAGAGCCAGTTTTGTGGGATTTGGGCTACCTGTTTCCAGGAGTGATCAACATTAGGAACCACAGAAGTGCCAGCTGCCAAGAGTAAGAAATGTAGTCTGAGCTCCAAGAGGTTAAAGTTCACAGTACTAGACCAAGTTTGGGATTTGCTTTTCCTTGAGCCTGGTCAGTACCCTCCTTCCTAGAAACATGATTGCAGCCTGGCCTTTTACCTTGCACATGCATAAAGTAAATAATGATACTCTTGTTTTTTCAGATTATTTATGTTCTCAGTTGCTTTACCTTTTGTAGGCTGGTGATGTCGCTTGGTAGCAGGATAAACATGCTGAGGTCATTATTGATGTATGGAAGCTCAAGAACATCAGTCTGGACTGATTCTATGTAGGTCCAGTTAAATTTATCACTCAGGTACATCATGGGCACTGGTTTAGTTGTATGCTGCAACAAATCAAATTAAGTGTTTGGCATTTGTACTCTGAACAGTAAAGGACTGAGTTAAAGTAGCACAGTGGAAGTTTGTTTTCCTGTACAAGCTGCCCAATGTGTCTGAGACATCCTTATGGCCCCAGGGGGTAGGACATAGGATCTGCAGAAGACCCCATGTCTTCAGGAAAGGCACTGGGAGGCTGTGCAGGCTATCTAAGCTGTCTGAGATGACACCCATTATAGGAAGCTGTATTCCACTCCGATTTGTCACACGGTTGAAAATGAAAATGTAAAGAACTACCCCATAAGTTTTGTTCACCTCTTTGTTTTCCCTGACTTCAGAGAATGGAAGCTTGTTTGAAGTCAGCTTCTGACAATTTTACTTGTGGCTCAAGTGCTAGCATGTGTGTGCAGACTTTGTGCTGAAGATGTGGTGAAGAAAATATACTGTATGCTTTAAGTGAAATAACTTCTATGCTGTATGGATTTAAAGATAGACAAGAATTTCTCTCCCCCATCTTTTTCAGTTTTTCCACCTGTGGTGTAGGATATAGGGCAGTATAGTCCCATACCGTGTTTATTCTAAACGGCCTTTGCCTTGTAGCTTCAGATTTGAACTTTGTTGCCCAGTTTCCTTTGAAGTACAGTGCATTTATCAGGACTAGCCTGGTGAGTGAATCTACGGATCCAGGAGGCAGCAGATTTTGGATTTTACCTGGAGAAAACAGAAGGACGTTTATACATTTGTGCAGTTTTACTGTTTCAGCATAGTTTCTGCGGATATAAGCCAGGGAAATTCTAAGTGCTGATGTGTCTAGCTTGAGATTAGTTGCAAATACGTGGCTACTGGGGTAATCTTGATTTACAAAGAAGAGTAAGCCACATTCATGTCACATTCAGGTGGAGGACATTAATTTTAGTAAAGGCTTGTCAGTAGATGACTACTTTAGGAAAACTGATCTGATTTACCTTTCTTAGGTGAATTGTTTAGCTGCCTTGGGCCCCTTGGCTACAGAGACTCTGTTCAATGCCAAAATGGCTTCTTTTTGAATTGGGAGAAAAGAGGCTGGAACTTACCTTCTGTCTGGTGTTCGACCTCGGAATTGATCTCTCTTCTGATTTCGTCTGCTGCTCCCACAAAGTCAGCTGATTGTGGCTCTGCATCGTGGTATTTCTTGGCTAACTGTAAGTATTCCTGCAGTGCAAGAGAGACACCTGTCTTGTGTTTGTTGCCTGCCAACATGAATGCTAATAAATAACTACAGCCAAAGAGAGAGAAAATATGATAAAAATTACGTAGACTACAAGCACAGCATTTTGTCAAAGGAACAAAGTGGGTTTTGATGGAAATACTCAATTTAAGTGTTCTCACCTAATTACATCTGCAAATTACTCTGAAATTAGATGCACATCCCATAAAACTAAAATTTTAGTGCCCAAAGTCTCAGGAAAAGTCTCATAGAAAACCTTGTTGTCAAAGTCAACATGATTTGCAGATGTAATGATAATTAAAAGTATATGGTCTATGGTATGTTGTCATAGATAGATCATAAAGGTTAAATGCACTGCATAATCTGAATAAATGACCTACCTACCTTACTGAAAGGCCACGATTTTTCTCCGTATAACTGGCTGACACTTTTAAGCAGATAATTTTTAGTGGGTTGGTTGATTTCAAAGTTGAGTGCTTTAAACCCAGTATGAATATTATCCAAGTGGCCAATTTCTGTCTTGGAGAAAAGAAAAAAAAAAAGATGTTAATCTGTAGTGTAAAATAGTTCAAAATTTCTGATATGTTCCTTCATGCAGCTCCAACTAAAGTATTTCTATTCAGGTGGTCTGTTACTTGTATTGAAACACAAGAGAGTTTCTAAACCAGACAGCTATTAAAAGAATCATTTGGAAGTATTGAAAGTTGCAGACATGATATAGAGACTGTAAGTGTCTCAGAATGCAAGCGTTAAGAGGCTGAACTATGTAAAACGTTTAAGCATTTGTAAGTGGAGACTGTGAAACCAAGTATATCCAGAGAATGATGGACAGACAGTAATTGTTAAACAATGCAAAACATGCTCTGTGACTTCTTTAATTTATAAAAGTCAAGTGTGTTACATGGAAAGTTTGTCCCTAAATTTCTTAACCTTGCTCTTAATGATAATGTTTTGTGATTTTTTTTTTTTTTTTTGTATTGCAGTAATTGCAGTAAATTCTTTGTATTGAAGTAGCAGGATTAAATGATTGTGGGCTCAAACTCTCAAATGAGCTCAAGGAAATTAAGCTATTAATTAGTAAATTAAAAATCTGGACCTGTGCTGTGTTCATCTTCTCATTGCATCAGAATCAGAGGCATGAACAGACACTTATTCTGAACTGTTAGAATAGTCCCTTTGCTCTACCCACAGCACTCTGTAATTCTTAATTCGGACAAGCATTACTCATGAGGAACAATCGCTCTCCTGTTCATGCAGTGCAAATGGGCTGGTGACCTAGCCCCTAAAATAAATCTTCCCACCAGGGGATTTGGCTGCGAGATGCAGATCCAAGTTCCCATTCATAAGAACGCACAGCCACTAGGGCTTCGTGGGCAGACTGCAGGGAAATGGCTTTTTCCCACAAAGAATAAGGATGACAGGAAAGAGCAGGGGGAAGAGCTTCACACCATCGTGGTTTAATTGTCAATGAGGAAAAACAGCCTTTGCTGATTCAGAGGGATTACATTTGCTTTTCCATTTTTTTCTGATGTGTTAAATTACGCATACTTTGGTACAAGATGCCTGCCAGTGTGTCAAATAAATATCTCAGGAATGTAATTTCAATTGATCTAATTTTTATTGCAAGGAACTGGTCTACCTTGGCAAATTCCAACATGTCGATTTATTTTGTTAACTATTCAACTGAAATGGAGACTAATTTCTGAAACGTATCAAGCATAGGTATCCTGGAAAAGTTAATGTTCTTGTTTTTATTGTCTTGATGATACAATCAAATGTGTGGAAAGGCAGTTCTATTCTTGTGATTAGCTCTCTGAGGTAGGAACTGTGTCTGTTGAAAGAACGTGTTGTTGCTAAATAGCTAGCTATTGAACAGTAATAGTTTGAGAAAGAAATTCCTCCTCAAAGCTAAAGGAAAAAGATGAAGAGATCTATTGACAGAGAATGGTAACTTTGAACTTTAAATTTTGCAAATTCGAGGTTAGCTCTTGCAATTCTACCTAAAAAGGGGAAGCATATAGTAAGTATTGCATTAGGTGAAGTTATCACAGGATGCTGTACCAATTAATTGTGTACTCTACGTTTGAGGAAAGCAAACATAAGCAAATGCAAACGTGTAAGGAAAATACAAGAAAGAGAAAATGAGACCATGCCCATAGCTTGATCACTAGACTTGGTGAGATACCTTCTGGAAACAAGAATATCGATTTGATACATGCTCTTCTGTTCTGGAATAGACTTGCATTTTTATGGTTGTGGAGACATTTCTGGTTCCTTCAGCTTTCTTAAAGTGAAGTACCTATAGCGGAAAAAGCAATAATGAATGCAATCATAGAAAATTTGCTGTTTTGGTAAAATCTTTCAGTGATATCTTGGGACTGGTGATGGAGAGGGTCAAACTCAGATTTTATTCTTGTGTCCAGCCCTGACTGAATACAAAATCTTTGGTTAGGTCTTGAGGCTCATGCGTACAAAATGGCTTGCACACACTAAGCTGAGGGCTGCAGGGCAAAACTCTGACATACCTGGCCTTTCTAGAGGGATCTGCCTGCTTTGAGTTATGCCTGGACTGGCCAGTTTATACCCAGGAAGAACCAGTTATCTCCAGATGGAAGCTACCAAAGCAGAAGTCTAAATGGAGCGCTGCTATGTGTCAGAAAGCGTGGAAATGATGTGGAAAGTTTTGTGCCTTAAATCCCTTGCTCTGGGCATGTGCACCTTACCCAGCCTACAAAGGGGTGCATCCAACCTTGGAACATTTTTCAGGAGAGCTTTGCCTTTTTTTGTGTTTTCCCTTCTTCCTAACAGAAGATCACTCCTTTCTTTGTTACCCTACTGGCCCTGTTTTCTTCCATCGGTCGGGAGTTAGTTCACTGCCTTAGCAGGTGGGACAGTGTCTGCCTTAGCAGATGCAAACTCACAAGCCTCACCTCATACAATGGGGGCTAGGTAACTGCATTTGGGCTGTTCTCACTGCTGCCTGCTGAAGGTATAAACTTTGCACAAATACGACTTGGGGATTTCAGTGAGTGATTTTTCCTGTAAAATACATACCCCAGAGGAAGGGCTGTAGTCTCACCATGTTCCTTCTGAAATCTTGTGGATGTGGATTTATGTTTAGCAAAGTGCAAAACTTAGGAGCTCTAGGGGAGAGTCCTTTTGTGTGGGATCATTTCCAAAGAGATGAGATGAGATGAGATGAGATGAGATGAGATGAGATGAGATGAGATGAGATGAGATGAGATGAGATGAGATGGGATGGGATGGGATGGGATGGGATGGGATGGGATGGGATGGGATGGGAATTGTCTGTGGCAGAGTAGAAGGAGAATCCAGGTCTCCCAGTCCCTGGGGAGTGCTCAAGTTACTGAGCTTTGGGATGAAGATCCTTTATTTCTGCTGGTGAGATTTAAGAGGAGACAATGTCACCAGTTCCACTTCTCTCATTTGTGGGGGGCCTGTTTCTAGAGGCTAGAGTAGACTAATTTCTTTGACCTATACAAGTGGAGAACTGGTCTATTCATTGCAGTGCACATCAGGGGTGAAACAGGAGGTATGTGTTTAGGGTTTTGATGAGTGTAATTTTCCTGCCTATGATCCATCACGGTAAATTTCTTGCATAGAGGGTGTTATTCCAAGAGATTAACCCTTTCAGACTATCTTTTGAAGCCCAGACTCACCTTTGCCATCTGATCTGCAGTGTTACCTTTGGCTCCCAAGTAAACAGTAGCCAGGGCAGATGAAATATTCAAAGGGGAGAACAAAATATTTTTGTCACCATCTTCCTGACACTTATGTTTGAAAAAGTCAAGAGCAAAGCTTGTGTTTGCTTTATTCAAAGCTTCCATTATTCTAAACCTGCACAGAAAGGGGGAAAAGATGCTATTAGCAAACCATTAATTATGGCTGCTACGTGTCTGCAAGTTTCTCTTCAGTTTTTGAAGTTTCTTTTGTGTTTTGAAGGCTTTCTGAATGTATTTGTCTAGATGAAGAACAAGGAGGATTAACTACTATAAAGTCATATAAGGCTTAGTGTGTTCTGTTTCACTGATTACTAGCTATCATTTAGGTTAGGGAAAAAGCAGGCTCCATCCTTGTTTTGTATTTGTTTACCAGAACGTTTATTGCACTGTCCTTTACAGCACCTTCAAGTGACATTTGGTGATGCTACTCAATAGTGCTACTCACTAGCACCTGGGCTAGAGGATACTGAGAGACTATCTGTTATGACAACTTTTATGATTCAATTTGTGCAAGAGCCTTTTGATGCTTGTAACTGCAATGAACAAATACTCTGGTAACAGTAACAAACTATTCCTTTAGGACAGGACAAAATACTTCTTTGAATGCCTGGGCAAGCACCACCCCAACTGCTGCATGCTAAGCATCCTGAATTTCCTTTTTGACTTTCAAAAATGTCCTGAAACTCTATCTTACAGCACCAGCCCAGATCCTAGCTTCCCAGTTCTACAAGACAAGGTTTCCATATTCAGTAGACCACAAATATTTGTCATCTGCAATGCCAGTTTAGCTGAGAGCTCTAGGCAGGGACTAGGAGCTATTCTGGTTGGTATAGGATGGCCTTAGAATAATGACAGTTTGTGTCATGAGTAGCTTGCAAACCAGGAGCATAAGAACTAAAGAGCACAAGAACAAATTAGCTGACATAAGCAAGCACAGTAGTTCTTACTCTGCTATGATATATATGCTAGCCAGTGAGCTTTAGAAATTATAGAACTCCAATACAATAAATTTCCTCTCCTGTATGTTTTTAAGACTTCCGCCTTCTAGACCATGCCTGTGCCAGCTTTCTCAAGCATTTGTTGTTTCCAGTTCAGATCACTGCTTCCTTTTTTCCTATGCATTTGTCAACAAAGCAACATCATCCAAGAGTATATGAAATAAATAGTCTCTAGAAATCATTACAGTACCTTGTTCTGTGCAGGTAGGAACACTGCTGGTCTGGGTGTCTCCAAGGTTTCTGAAGTTCATATGAAGGGTAGGGTGAATTTATAGTGTGTCTGGCCAGTTCTGCAAAGGTTCTTATGACTCATGAATGTGCAATGTATTGTGCCCTGAAGACCACATCCCAGTGGAAGAACTGAGTCATCTCAGAGTAGGATGTGAAGTGATGGCAAGAGTGATACCATACAAGAACCTTACCTTGCAGAAGTATTTCTGTAAACACTTTTGTGGCAGGCTAGTAACCACTTGAACCCATACCACGTTAAACAACATTTCTTTTGCAGTTTGGAGGGTTTGGAAAAAAGGGAGTTGCTGACCTACTTCTTTTATGATTTGTCTAATAGAAATTATTTCTGAGGAACAAACAGACAGAAAAAAGACAGTGACTTCTTATGTGTGAGATTTTCTAATGTCCGTTTCCTACTGAGAAAGTATTTGTCACTGCTGGTGGGTTTCTGTTTTAGAAAAATGGATTTTGTTAATCTTGAAAGATTCAAAGACTTTATAACCAGGGAAATGTCACTGTGAGATAGTGAAGTGTGAGAAAGAGGCACCAGACCCTTGCTTTTATTATCAGTGATGCCATCACTAGAACCTGATGTGGGTCTTAGATTAGACTTCGTTTTTCTTCTGCTGCTGTTTCCTCACCCTGATCTTAAAGCTGCTGTTTGACCAGTGTATCACCTCAGAGAACTATTTCTTATTTTCCATTCCAGAAATGGATATTCTGTCAAATCCTCTTTTTCTTCTTGCCTTGGCTATTAAAGTACCTCCTTCCCCAATTTTCTATGCAGTCATACTGTCCCTCCTTCTGTTGTCCTTTTTGTAGCTGTCCATGCCCACTTTGGCCCCTAACTGAAACACCCTGTGTAATCCTACCCTTGCCCTTTATTTCATTCTTTACTTCTTTGCACTGTGATAATACCACCTTGAAAACCTGGATAGGAGCTGCTTGTCTCTCTGGGGCCACCTCCTTGGCGCTGAGCAAGACTCACTCACAAGGTCTGGGTCTTCAGCTTAAACTGCCTTCTGAGATCTTTCTTCTGACCTGCTGCCTATGAGCATACATTTAACATGGACTTATGTTGTAGGTCAGCAGCTGGCACAGAGGATCCTGTAATGAGGAATGAGCTGTGGGAGTACCTGCAAAAATTGATGTAGGGCACAGGAGGGCGCAGCTGCAAAGGGTCCCTTGCCAATGGTGAACCTTGTGCATCAATACAGTTTGGGAACCGACAGCTTTGTTAAAGTTGCTTTCCTACTTGTGAGGAACCTCACGACTCAGATAGTGTTTTCCTGCCCCTTGGGTCTTTTGAAATTGTAGCTACACAAAAGCAGCATGTTTCAGTGTGAGCTGTAATTAGATGCGTCTGTTACATTTTCCAGAGAGCGGCATAGTGTAGGAGAGGTGTTCAGTGCAGAATTAATTGCTTCCATTGCACCTGGGAAAGTTGTAATCTGTTTACATTGGCCTTAAATGATTTCCAAACCCTAAATGATTTGAGTAATCATTGCAAATTTAGCCTTGTTGTTGAACGAGTGATAGATACACTGGGGAGACTTCATCCCTTAGAGCAATTACTGTGGATTTTCTGGTTTTAAAGCAGAGGTGAATTTAATTTGCTATCTTATAATATTGCTTGTTGCTTTACAAGAAGTGGCTGAGGTGTTCTGTTTATGCAGAAATGCTGGGTTAGACTGAATGGGAGGCTTGTGCCTTTATACAAGGTTTTAAAGCCTCCTTTTTAAAACACCTCTTGAACAGCATTGTCGGTCATTAGCCAAAAAAAAACCACCCCACCATACAGAGTAACTAAAATTCTACTATTCTCAAAGGACAACATATGCTAAATCAACATGATGGATAACGTTTTCCAATATCCTTTTAAATTAGCACCACCAGAGGATACAGCTCGATGAGTAGTGCTGCTGCTGACTCTCACTCCCACTCTAACCTAAGTCAACACAGCAGCACACTAGAAGACTTGTGTTTGTATTAATAGATCCTTTCTGTGGGAAGTAAACCTGTGGGCTCTTTCACTGTAGTTATTCATGTTTCCATTTGGTCAGGACAAATATTGGCAGGACGTCAGTGCCCTGGCCAGATCTCAGCTCTAGAAATGCATTTCATTTTCCTCTAGCTTCAGTGTAACTTAGTACAAGTTGTTGTGACTTTCCTACACAGTGTGCTGCTCTGTTCATTAGCACCTGGGTTCAGGATTAGGTGAAATGCTTGATGTCTAAACAGAACATTATAAAGTGCTTTATAAAGGCTCTTGAAGGTCTTGAGAGAAAGACTTTTGGTCCCAGAGAAATGGTAGCTTCTGCTTTCACACAGTATTTTAGGATACAAATTTCCATGGCTGGTTTCCATGTTCACTGGTAGCTTACTTTAGCTATTGATCAACTCTGTATAGCTCTTGGAAATCTGATTTAATGCAAAGCTACCATATTCTATATTTCAGGTAGATCAAACAAAAAAGCGTTATTTGAAGTAAAGCTGTTCAGTTTCCCTGAGATCTTCAAATTATTTTTTACCAGTATAAGCACTGTTTATTTACTTGGGAAGGAAGAATTTCTGGTTCAGCCAGGAGAGCACTCTATTCAATTTTTTGGCTCAGCTGGAGCAGGGCTGTAGATTTTAAATGTGAAAGGATTTTAGATGTCCCCAAAATTTTAAAAGGACTTCAGGAGATACAAGAAGCATGGGGAGGAGAAGGGTTTTGAAATCCAAGAATATTTTAATCCCTTTGAAGATCTGATTAATTTTTTTTTTAAACCTCTGTGTTATTTAAAGTTTGAAAACCATAAGGAGGACAGGGGCATAGAAATTGAGAAAATAGTCAGGGTGCTGTGTGACTAGATACACGAACTTTTCTGTGCTGAGGAGAACTCTTTTTTGGGTGATGCCTCTGTCATAGTGTAATTGAGAGCGTGGCATGAGCTTTTCCTAACAATATCAACTAAAAAAAAAATAAAAATATATGCATCACCTAGACTGGTTATAATGGATTTTAAGTTGTGCTATAACAGATTTTTATACAGGATAAGTTTGTACCATCCTGAAATCTCAAATAGATTTTAAGTTTAAGAGAGATTAGTTCTTTGGTTATCTTTTTTCCCTTTAAAGCTTTGGTTGAGAATACACGTGCCTTTATTTTGAAACAGAGTAGATAGCTATCTGTTGTGTATCTCCTATGAGTAGGTTTGCAAGCCTTCCTTTGCTAAGCAATCCTTACTGACATACTCTAACAGTATTTTAAACTTTATGAGTTGCCAGAGGGTGTGGTGAGGTTCCTATTACTGAGGCATTTTGCTCCACACCTGCAGAACACAAAGGTGTGGTGAAATCTGGCAGAATTCATCATACTTTACTATTACTTTTGCATCCTTTGGCTTAGACACTGTAATTGATAAAGGTAGCATTTGTCCTGAGAAATTCAGGACTTCTCTGTTAAGAAGTGCAACACTTCTGAGAAAGAACTGATCTCTGAAAAAAAGATCATTTATCTGTTGATGAATATGCACACTGTTTTCACATATGCAAGGATGGGTTTTCCTTCGAATGACTCAATCGGTGAGCATTTTTAAAGTATCCCAGGTAGCAGTTAACATCAAAAATATGAAGAGTGGCATGAATTTCTCAATCATGATACACAGTACTGCATTATGAGTAATGATGTATGTGTGGCTTGTATGCACTTTAGCCAACACTTGTCATTTTTCCAAAGAAAACTCAAGGGGCGTAACAGTACGTCAGCTGCATGACTACTGAATGAGAAAGCTGATCCCTGCTTTGTGTTAATGGGAGTTGCCCAAGCTGCAGTGCTGTAGTGTGAGATGTGACATGTTGTGGGATGAAGAATGTGAGTATTGTCAATGTATCTTCAAAACACATTTCTAAAGAAGAGTGCATGCTAACCAGGAGCCTTGTGCTGATGTGCAAGAGCAGGGTATAGAGGAAGGGCTGTCTTTTAAGAAACCCATTTAAACATTTGCTATTTTTGCAGCTCGACTGCAAATATTCTTGTCCAGTGGAATGACCAGAGGTTTCATAAGACAGTTGGTCTTTTCAGAAGTTTCATCAGGAGAATTTTCCTGATACCCACTTGTGGAAGTGTACTGGAAATCTTAGCTTTTCACTGATCTGCTTGGCACCTGCTGGCCCTTCATATTTTCCAGCTTTTTAGGCTAATCTTGGTACTGATCTGAACTACCTGGTTAAGTGCGCATACAAAGGAAGAGAGTCCTGGAAGAGAGTAACCCCAAAAAGGAGGCTTGGAATAGAATTTTCCCCTCAGACTGACAAGGACTTTGGGTGAGCTGGAGTGTCGTTAACAACATTTGAACATGTCTTACCAATGTCTTTGCCACTGCAAGGTTCTTCCATCTTTCCATCTCTCATATTCTCTGCCTGTTGCACAAAGGAGCTCAGTCTCTTTGAGACCTGACATCCTTTTACATGGTTCAAGTTAGCAAGCTTTTCATAACAGTGACCAGGTAGAAAATGATGACGTAATACACAAGTAAGACAAGATGATCTCATGTTCCTTTCTGCTCTCAGACAAAATGTGATGGAAAGTTTTGATTTTGTTCCTTAAGCTTTTTTGAAAGATGCAAAAGTATGAACTTGCAGAGTATTACACTGAGGATCTTCTTTTAAAACATCCTGATGATCATCTGCTCTTCTTTACCAAAGCATTTCCAAGCTCTTTGGAGCTGCCCTTTCCAGTTATGATTCAGCCGTATGCAGATCTTCGTGGCTCCATTATCTTTTGGTCTGGTATTTGTGGTTCTTTTAGCTCTGTCAAAACCAAAAGCATGACTCTTTTTGTGTAGTTTAAAACAAGTGCAATTGTCACTTTCAGCTGCTTTAGACATTTCTTTCTTCTTGGTCTATCTCCATTTTCTAGAGCTTTGGCTTTGTCTTCTGAGGCTTTAGAATCATAGAATCATAGAATAGTTTCAGTTGGAAGAGACCTTCAAGATCATAGAGTCTAACCCTTGTCCTAGCTCTATCAACACCACTAAACCATGTCTCTAAGTACAACATCTGCTCATCTCTT